ATTTGAAACATTGTTATTTTTTAAACAATTAGAATAGTTTATAAACATTGACCCTTACAAATATTGCCATGGAATCAACAAAGTATGAAGAAGTGCTCGAAATCAAGAGCCACTTCTTAGAGCGTAAACAAAACTACAAAAATTTGGGACTTAGAAATACCATAATAGTTTTAAGGGATGTGTCTAGAATAATTCTACAACATTTTAAAAAAATGTATGGTTTATAACTGTTTATCATAGGTTCAAATAGCACTTGATAGTGTAGATCCAACCCTATGCCAAGAGCTTCTTGTGGTGATTAGGTAGGGTTTTAGAGTGGAGAATGTTGAGGAATTTGTTAAATATTAGGAGTCAAAAATTAACCCAGCACTCCAACTCTACCCAAACTCCAACTTTAAAAATCCACATTCGGATTGGCTCAATTAATTTTCATGTTGAGTACATGTTAGGAATTCTAACACATTTATTTTCTTGGGTTGAGTTCGGGTTGTCCCACCAACCCAAAATTGTTCAGAAATTGTCCCGCTAATCCAAAATTGACTCTAAATTGGCCTATTGACCCAAAATTGACCCGAGATTTACTCAAAACTGACCAAAATTTGACCTCAAATTGTCTCAAATAGTTTTTGTCTTTTGTTAAATGGATTATATGGGTCAGGCTTGGGATGGGGGTTGAAGGTAGGTCGGGTTCGGATTGGACTTTCGGATTCATTTAATTTTTGAGTCGGGTTCATTTTCAAGTTAGACTGGAATCTAGCTTGCAAACTAGATTTGAGAACCTTAGCATGATAATATGTAAAAATAATAGTAAATTAGTTCTAAATCCAATTATATGTAGAAATTACGTAACATTTTGGAACTTATCATGCGCCAAATTGACGAGGATGAAGAAACACATAAGGGAATTTAGAAAAAAAAAGGATTATTGGGTTGTTCTTATTACTAAAAATAAATCTATCCAAACAAAATTTGTATCATAGAACTAACTTAAAGGAATGATTTGTTTGTGTAAATATTTCCCTCATATGTTCGTGTGATTAAAAAACTTCATGGAATTATCATAAGAAATTTATCCAATATGTTGGAGCCTTTATCTAATGTCTATGCTTAATTTCTATAATTGATAATGACATAATCATCTAAGATTTTTTGCTCAATTGTCAAGGAAATAGCATACCTAAGAGTTGTATCTCTAGCCCATCCATTTATCAAAAGCTTCTTAGTTATTCAAATATGGGTGCTTTTAGCTTGACCTTGCCCATTAAGGCAAGTTCTGAGGATTTCATCTCCATCATAAGGTTTACTAATGGTATAGCCACTCCTCTGAAGAATGCATCAACTTTAAGTAGGAGATCATGTGCTTTCGCTTGTCACCTCATGGCAACAATATTTGCCTAATAAGCAAACTAGATGACATTGATATTTCTACATTATTATTTTTCCAAGGTTCTGAAACTTAGATTCGATATCGAACTTTCAATATTTAAATGTTTGATCAAGATTTAACTGTGTTAAAACTATTATGATGTAATACATCTTAAAATTATTTGATAATCACTAAATGAAATAGTGATAATGAAATTTCTTATAATCTACATACTTTTAGATACCAACACATTTCATATTTACATAATATAAGGGAAGTTCATTAGATCCAAATTTATGAAAATTTGTGAGACTAGTAAATTAGTTCTAATGAATAGCAATAAAGGGGTTCAAACTTAAAAAACATAACTAGGAGAGCGAGAGACTCCCTTGCACACTTTTCATTGTATTCCAAGATGATATCATAATATTTATTTCATAGCCTAACTTATGTATACGCATATGTCTGTAATGTGGGAACTTTTGCTTATTTGACACTACACATGGGCTCAAGTGTAGCGGCCCATGCACACTTTTTATTGTATTCATGTTATACAGTGTGTCTCTTCCAGATGATATCATAACATCTACACAATAATCAAAAGAATTCATGTCATGATTTTTCGACGTTGTCGAGGCTTGGGACCAGGCAATGGTAGTGTTAATTAAAAATAAAAAATATTAGAATTGCAAATAATAATAATAATAATAATAATAATATGAAAAAATACTTTTTTAGTGAAATGGAAATGGTATATGATCTTAATGGTCCCTCAATATAAGATTTATTATGTTATATAATCAAATAAATATAGTAAAAGTTCTGTATATTCATGCATATGACGATTAATCGATTCTTTTCCATGTGAGCTATGATACGTAGGTTATGAGCATATACACCATATGTATTTTAACCCTATCGTATTTGCTTCTTTTATTCTTTCATGTGAGGTATGATAATATATATTATTTAAAGAATATAAATTATTAATACGCTTAACTAACTTGGGTTATTCCTTTGTTAATTAAGCCCAACTACTAACTAATCATATGTTCATTATTTTATTAAATATTTATATCAAAAAACTTAATTATGATAGACTGAAGGTTGTGAAAATTAAACCGGACATTTCAGATGAAAATGTTCAAGATTCAAAATTAAATCAGGGTTAAATAGGATATTGAATCAAATGAGGTAATAAATATTTAAATTATTTTAATATAATTTAAATAATAGAATAATAATATATTAATATCATTGTTATCGATTCAATAAATAATATTTTAACATAAAATAATATTTTTTAATGTTTAATCTAAATAAAAATTTTAAAATGTTACAATTTCTTTATTTTTAATTATAATATTTGTATTTCTACACCTCTGATCAAAATTAAAATGCTAAAATTTGATCTATTTTGAACCAATCGGTTTGTCATTTTTAGAAAATGGACCGGGACAATGGTTCGACCCAATTTTGACTTCAAATAGGTACGAAGAATGGTGTAATTTTTGTAGCATCTATTCAAGGGAAAACATTCTTCAATTAGATATATCATCCTTTTTAGTTTAGACAATTTAATTACCCAAAAGGATATCTTTATGAATTGTCGAAGTCTATGGTATTTATACAAATTGGACGGCCACTCAACGGTTTACTACAATTTTGAATCTCTCTCCTCTCACTCTCTCTATAGCTCGTCTATATATATATATATATATATA